TATATCATTGAACTACCAACAATTTGTTTTGATTCCAGTTTTTTCTATCATTGAATGACCAACAGTTTGTTTTTGGTAAGTCTACAGTTTGGAGTTTGGATATTACCATATTTCTCTCTCTTTTTTAGCTTGAAGTTATCGGTTTGTTGCCATTTCCTGTTCTGGACAAGTTGGATTTCGTTCTTCTTACCTGGTCTTCGGTTTTCGCAAGAAAGAGGGGGATTGTGGGAGACACAGGCCTTATATAGTCACTTCCTCTGTTATGTGATTGGTTGCTTGTGTATCTATACAGTTTTTTCTTTCATTTTGACAATATTTATATTCCTCTATCTTTGCTGCTGAGGAAATAAAGAAAGAGTTATGCATAATACCCGCCTCCGTGTCTTTAATAAAATCATGACTTTACGTCATGTTAATAGTAAAATCTGGGAATTATGGTCGGGGGGCCAGCTCTAGGAAGTGTCATGGAATAATAGAGGTCATTGTGCTCTTGAGAACCTTCAATGCAGTCTGCACAATCCTGTCTCCGAGCTCTGCAGGCAGTTTCTTTGACCTCATAACTTTTTAGTCTGATATATTTACAGATGTGAGACCTTATATAGGCAGGCACGTGTCTTTTGAAATCATGACCAGTCGATTGAATTTGCCACAAGTGGACTCCAATTGTAGTGTATAAAAACATCAAAGATGATTCAGGGATAAAGGATGGTTCTGAACTAAATCTCAAGTGTCATAAGAAAGGATCTATATACTTATGGTAATGTGATATTTATGTTTTTTCTTTTTAATAACATTGCATGATTTACACATTTCTTGTTTTTGCTTTGTTATTATAAAGTATTGAAAGTACATTGATGGAAAAAAGTAAATTTGAACGATTGTAGCGCAAGGCTGCAAATTTAAAAAAGTACAAGTCTGAATACTTTCTCTTCACTCGTGAATGAGTGACGTTAGAGGTATATGCAATTTGAATCAAACCTTATAGAGCAACACATGGAATTTTCAGAAGACACGGAAGAGCACAGTTGAAAGAATGATTTAGTTTTTCTGCCTCCTAGAGGCTGAATTACAGTTTTTTTTACAAGATTGCCTAAATGTGATAGAAATTTATAGGGTTATTTACTAAATCGAGAATTCAAAGATAATTTAGAAATTAAAGGCCAGAGAAGCAGAACTGAAAACATAGCTGACTTAGAGAATTTTTCCGGGTTAGGCTATTTTGAAATTCACTTATAATTTTCTCCAGATTCTCACTTTAGTGAACAACCCTGCTAGTCATGGGTCTTTACAGGAAAGCAAGTGCAGGTGTGAGAATTGGTATGTCAGTATGTATTTATATCATTTACAGCAATGGTAGGCAACCTTTTTCTACCTACCGCCCACTAATGCATCTTTTTGGTTGAAAAAATTTCCTTACCGCCCACCAGTTCTCGCGCAAGTGCGGAATATTTTTTAGAAAGGAGGGTGTTTTAAAAAAATAAATGTACGTACATTTATCTTTTTATTTCTACTTAAACAAAACGGACCAGCGGGGAGACCCAGCTAAACTTTATACAAGTCATAAACACGGCCCGATGTTCGCCAACACATCCGCTCGGCAACGCATACCTAACATGACGAACTTGGACAAAAAACTTGTCCCACACGAACTGCCTTATCGTCTAGCATTTAGATCCCCTCTCAATCTACACACACAGCACGCTGTAGATCCGTATACACATTTGGAACGCAGAGACCTGCGAGTCTCAAAGTTATACTTAGCTACCCTACGTAACTCACAAAATCAAGCCTTGGGACACATACACACACTAACGCAAAACAAAACAAAGCAAAGTAATAAAGTAAACTGGAAGGGAGGGGGGAGGAGGGAGAACAGAGTGGGGGGAAAAAGGGAAACAAAAATTTTACTGTTCAAAAAACTGTACAGGATTTCCGCTTCTGATCTGTAACTTTTGGTGTACTGTACAATGTCTAAAATATTGTAATAACGCAACTATGTAATTTCATCCTGTCATACAATAAAAAAGATTTACAAAAAAAAAAAAAACTTTATAAAGTTTAATGAGAAAACAATAAAGTAAATAGAAATTACCTTTACTAGTGATTAATGATATCCTTGAGGTTGATGCTGCGAGACTAAATATTTGATATCTGGTTCGATTTTCGTAAGGAACAAACGAAGGTCTCCTCTTTCGGTGATATTCAGATGACTTCTCTGTTTGCGCATAATATGATTTCTCATCTGTGCGTCAGCTCCCCTCCTTTCCCTCCTCAATTCCCCTCCCCACCTTTCACCACCCCCCCCTTTTTTAAATTTTTTACCCTTCCCTATAGCAATGCCCAGTAGGAAGGCTGAGCTAGGTATCCCACTTACTATTACTTACTATAGTCCACTATAACAGACAGGCACACATACATACATACAGACACACATACATACAGACAGACAGGCACACACATACATACAGACACACAGACAGGCACACATACAGACACACACACAAGACACATACACAAGACACATACAAACAGACAGGCACACATACATACAGACACACACACAGACATGCATACAGACACACACATACAAAGAGACAAACATAAGACATACATACAAAGACACATACACACAGACAGATACAAGACACACATACATACAAAGACACATACACACACAACACATACATACAAACACAAGACACACATACATACACACATATATACAGACAGACACACACACAAGACACATATAAAGACACATACATAAGACACACATACATACACACACATACATACAGACACACACAAGACATACATACAAAGACACATACACAAACACACACAAAATATTTTAGTCACCCTCCTGTTTCCTACCTTTTAGGTGCAGGAGGGTGACTTTCCCTGGGGTCCAGTGGTGGCTCCCTCCTCCTTCCTCCCGCGCGGTCTGTGTGTTAGCTGGGAGGAGTGACGTGCAGTCACTTCCTCCCAGCTCTGTGATGTAATCACAAGGGACCCGGTCGCGCTGTTAAAGCGCCCAACGCTGACCGGGCCCCCTCACTATCCACATCCAATGGGTGGCCCTGACAGCATGGGCCACCCGATGGACCCCGCAAATGGTGATGGTAGTACCCGGTCGCAGGGGTACCGCCGGCTCGCACCCGCCCGCCCAATCTCTCAAAATTAGAAAATCCCTACCGCCCACCTGGAATCCTGAAACGCCCACTAGTGGGCGGTAGGGACCAGGTTGACAACCCATGATTTACAGGGTCTATTACATTGTACAAAAATACCATGATTTGTATTCTGCTACATCCTGACACTAGCAATTTCACACATGCATGTTTCAAATCCAATTGTTATTCTCTTATATGGGTTTGCTACACAGCACATTTAAAGGACCAGTATAGGCACCCAGACAACGTCAGCTCAATGAAGTGGTCTGGGCTCCAGGTCCCCCTTGTTTTAACCCTGCAGCTGAAAATATAGCAGAAACTGCTATGTTTACACTGCAGGGTTAATCAAGCCTCTAGTGGCTTTCTCCCTGATGGCCACTAGAGGCGCTTCCGCAATTTACACTGGGTAAACCGCACTTATTTGACTTATTCAAATAAGATCCCCATAGTAAATAAAGCATTGAGTAAAGCTTTCCTATGGGCGGGTTTGAATGCACGCGCGCCTTTGGCAACACATGCGCATTCAGCTCCACTCGGGAGATGATGCCGGCGGGGGAGGAGAGGTCACCAGCGCCGAGGGAGCCCGGTTCTAGATTAAGTTAACTGGCTGAAAGGGTTTTAACCCCTTCAGCGCAGAGGGTGGGAGGCACTCCAAGAGCCTATAGTGCCAGGAAAACAGGTTTGTTTTCCTGGCACTATAGGACCACTTTAAATTCATCTTGCTTTTGTGTTTTTTAAGAAGGCACTGTGGTATTTCACTATGGTAGACATTTTAGCATCATTAGAAAAAGATTTTGCCAATATTTTATTTCTGGTGTTTTTCGCAAACATATTGGATAGCAGACATGGATTTAATTGAAACACAATGTAACAAACAGATTTAATAACCTGTGGCTAAAATGTCTATTATGGTTTTGTTAAGGAATAAAGGACTAAAATATAAAGAAATCTCTATCCCTAGATGCAAAATGTCAGATGAGGTGTGGTCACTGGTCACCACCCATATCTTTCTTTTACAAGTCCAAGAGACTGAAAAAAACGACTCGTGATTTGCCCTTTCCAGAGAAAAAGAAGGCCAATGCATAAAAGGTTGCTGGAATGCCAAATATAAAAATAAAAATGTATTACATTTCTTTTTATAAGGGAAATCCAAAGTATATTCCTCTTGCATGTAAATTTTTGGTCTTTGAGTATTGTCATTCTGCCAAAACCATTGTAATTATTGTATTATTATAATTACTATTATTATTGTAACAAAAATTTGAAGAAGTACTAACCTTACAGTACACTTTATAGTAAAATACAACCATCAAATAGGAACTCCTAGACAATAACAATGTGATGGATTTTATGTGGCAAAGCACAGGATTATTCTCCGAAGTGTAAAATGCTGGGAATTTAAAGGAACATTCCTCCCAATGTGCATGGCCAAACCATCTGTGTGAAAAACTAAAACCTGGAATGTGACAAACACCAATCCTCGCCTCTTCTACTTATGATGGAGAGCTAGCCATGCCAGGCATTGAGATGCAATGCCTATCTCATGAGAGCTAACAGAAGCTCTTGCTTAGGGGTTTCGGATTCTCTGTTGTTAGTAGTAGAGACAGGGAGCAGAGCCAATCACATCTTAAGCAAGACATCAAATTGCTCTAAAATAATTTCACAACCTACATGTAGGGTGCTATGGGGAGGGCCCCAGAGTTTAAGTTGTTGTGAGGTGGGAGTTTTCAGTACTTTTAATGACACAACATTTTTGCTTTATTGTTTATCATGAATTTGACATCCGATATTGCTTTCTGTCAATATTGGCATTTTGTTAAATGTTAATCAAGACATACAGAATTCATCATTAGGTTGCAAATCCATTAAGTATGCAAGACGATTAGCCATGGCAAAAAAGGCGGTAATCGCAGCAATATCCCAAGCATCTTCACGGTCTAAACCGTGCTTTTCCAGCTGTTTGAAGTGGATTTCGGTGATATTTTCTGGTTTGGCAATTGCTAAAGCAAACTCCACCATCGCACGTTCTCGCTGGTTAAGTTCTGCTAGACCCCAGTTGATAATAACCTATTATTAAAATAATAAATGGACTGAAATACAAAGCTAGAAAATGTGTGAAGAATTAGGGTTTGTGTATAGTATCTGGATTCTGGCTGCCATTGTGTTTTTGTTTTGTCCAGCAAGCTTATGAATATACTAATTATATCACAAAGAACTCCTTGATCACAATTTCTAAAAAAAAAAAAAAGCATCTGGTTAAAAAGTAGCAAATTAATGGCGCTTTGGAAATGCAATAATTTAGGAATGACTAAGCTGTAGAAACACCTACTTCCTTTTCCCATGTTGGCCATCCTCAGCTATATATAAATGTATGTATGTATGTATATATGTAGATACACAAGGTCCTGCGGGCTGTGGATTTAAATGTACGGTAAGTATACTTATTTGTGTGGTTTGAATTATTTATATAGAGAGTAACACACATACATATATATACCAGACTTGACATCTCTCGCTCATCTATATGGTTTTTAAATCTGCAGATCATGTTTCCAAATCCTTTGCAATATGGTAAGGTGTTCCATACAGAACCATTTGGGATCCCGACCTCTGATTTTAATTGCCACAGTTCCACATTTTGCCATGCATGCGCACCGGCCTCAATGCTTTTCTATAGGAAAGTATTGGATTGGCTGAGATTATCAAAAATGATGATCTTAGGCAAGGTTGCTGAACTTCAGCACTAATTGGTGCGCAGTGGGATGTAAGGTAAAGAAACTCATCTATGACACCAAAATAATTATTTTCTCTGACAAAGGTGTTGTTACACCTAAATGCATTTTGGGCTATGCTTATGTGGTTTTGCACAATGGGTAGCACTTTGCACTGTGATAGTTTTGTTTAGTTAGGGTTTTGTTACAGGTTACAGTGTTGGGCAGGTATTGTTACGTACGTATAGATTTGCTCTGCAGTAACAAAGTATAGGCTTCCCAGTAATCATTTATTATAAAGTTTTTGCTTGGCACTCATATTGGTTAGCAGTGCCAAGGTATGGGCAGCATCCTTGCACTGTCCTAGGAATCTAATACCAGGCAGGTACTCAGGTTGCTACGTATGCTGACTTATACGCCATGCTGACTGTTAGCCATCTTTTTGTTAATTTTATCGCTTTGCAGCATTTCCTAGTGAGGGCTTTGCTTTCCTGCCCATGCTTCACCTATCTGTTAATATCAACTCTGATCACTCTCATTTTTTTCCATCCCCAGTAATATTTAGGAAGCATTCTATATAACACCTGCCTATAATTGATTGTTCATTTACTATTTCTTGCCTTTCCTCAGCTTTTATCACTATGTAATATATGCTATTCACTGGATTATATCCTCCCAAAGTTTCTACATAACAGCAGTTAAACCAAGCTACCTTGAAATAAGGGGTCTAAAACATTATATTATGTTTTCAGTATAGACGCACACCACTTCCGGCATGTTTGGTAGTCCAGTGTTCCTGTGCTCCTTCTCCCCCCGTTACTCAGGCTATACCTTTAACCTTTTACCTAGGTTTTCACTAGTGTGTTAGTGTTATGTGTTTAGTATCTGCTATTTTTCTTTAGCAATTATTAAAGTTTTAATGCTGATGCTGCTTGAGACACTGCTTATCAAAACCTACCTGGTAAGCCAATCTTGGGTTTTTAGAATGTATTATATGCTGAGCTCCATGAGCTGTCACACAGTAAGGGCACTTGTTATAAGCGCTGGTTGCTACAATAAGAAGCTCTTTATCAGCCCTGGATAGATTGCCTGCAATAAAAAATATAAAAAAATATATAACAAGTTCAATAATCATCTCCCTAGACTGAAATGTGTAACAAAATGTGTTTTAGAGACAGATCATTTCAATATTGTTTTAAATACACCAAGGATAGTAATGCACTCTAGTTCTGACCAAAAAATGTTTTTTTTTTATAAATTCTTTATTTTGAAAATTTTTGTCATTTAACGTGGGGATACAGAAAAGAAAAGTTGGCGGTACAATTGTCATACATAATTAACAGAGTTATCATATTCTCATGTAGCATATGATCAGGCTATATCATGTGGCATATTTTTCAACTTTTCTTTGGGAATTGGGTGGGGTACAGAAAAAAGAAGAGGGAAGGTCAGTGGGGTACATTTACATACAGTTTAGATTTTTCCTTTAAATCAATCCGGTTCTCTTTATGTTGGTGGGTCTGGGTGGTTTTGGGAATGAGTTGGTTTGTGTGAGCCTTTTGCGTGGTGTAGTGTCCGTGGTGGGTTGCGTCGTACGCTGTCAGCGCATATTGTGCAATTGGGTGGGAGAGAGGGGGCAGGTGTTTGGGGGTGCTTTTTCCTGCTTGTTTTGCTTTGTTTCTTAGTTCAGGTGTTGTCTATGCTCGTTTTTGGTCGGGTTGTCTGGTTCACTGTGATGTCTGGGGGTGTAAGAGGGGTGCCGGGGAAAGGGGAGGTGTGGGGTGGGTTACCTTCACCTGTTGTTTCCGTTGTGTTTTTCAGGCTGGGTGTGGATCCAGTTATAAGGGGTGATCTGGTAAGTCGATGCGTGTGTCGGCCAGCGTGGGTTTTCAGCCCGTTGGTGAGTCTGAGATGTTATGGGTATTTAGGTTGTTGTTGTATGTTGCTTCTATTGTGGCCCACTTTTATGGTTTCCCATCTGTATGTTTTCTATTATTTAAGGGTGTGCTGGGTACCTCTTGTTGGGGTTGTGCTGTGGTTTCGCTTATTTATGGGGATGTTGGTATGGTGGTTTTGATGTGTGGTCGCTGGATTTAGGCTGTTTCAGCTGTTTTTTTAGTTGGCGGGTATGTTTGGTTCTGTTGTGTTTGTTTCGGGGTGTCCGGTTTTGGGGGATTTGTTCGGCCCTTTGGGGTTTCTTGTCTGGGGGTTCTCTCGGTTTGTGTGGTTGGGGGATATGTTTAGTGGTCTTGGCTCTTTTATGTTTCTGTGTGTGTGGGTGGCTGGTACTAGAGGGGATGTGTCTGATGGTTCTGGGAGGTGTTGGTGGTTTAAGTGTCTGCGGAGCGTTTTTGTAGTGTGGGTGTGTGTGTGTTTCAGGTGGAGAGAGGGTTTTCGTAGAACCATGGGTCCCAGATTTTGTGGAAGTGTTTAGTCGAGTCGTGTACCAGTGCGGACAGTTCGTCCATTTTAATTGTCTCCTTTATTTTTTGGGTTATTGTACCCACGGTCGGGGTGTCTGGGCTACCCCATTTTTCGGCGATGGCTCTTCTAGTGGCCAGTGCTATTTTGGCAATTAGTTTGTTTTGGGCCCTAGGTGTGTTGGGAAGTGGTTTGGATAGGAGCCATGTCCAGGGGTTTAGTGGTATGTCGGTGTGGAGGATTTTCGATACCATGGAAGCTATTTGTTGCCAAAGTTGTGCGGTGGGTGTGCATTCCCACCACATGTGGAGGTATGTGCCCTTCTGTCCGCAACCTTTCCAGCATGTGTCCGTGTCTGACCTGCCCATCTGTTTGAGCCTGAGGGGGGTAAGATACCATCTCATAAGTGTCTTGTACGCCTGTTCTTTGTGGTTGACGCAGATTGATATAGATGCTGTGGCCTCCCAGATCCTGGCCCAATCAGTTGGGTCTTCTGCCGGGCCTAGATCCCTCTCCCAAGCCGACACATATGTAAGGGCCCCGTCTTTAACATTTTGGATTAGGTGTGTGTAGAGTGCGGATATTTGGCCTTTTTGTGTCGGGGATTGCATGCATTGTTTTTCAAAGGATGTGAGCTCTTTGGTTCCTGCTTGTTTGGTTATTGGCATGTCTAGGAAGCTTTTGATTTGGATGTGGCGGAACATGTAAAATGTACGGTATGGTGTTGTATGTGGGAGCTCTGGGAAAGGTATTGGTTGTTGGTTTTTGTAGTAGTGGAACAGTCGAGTGAGATCGTTTGCCTCAAAGCGGGCGAAGTCTTTGGGTGTCATTCCCGGTGGGAAGTGGGTGTTGCGAAGTAGCGGGGTTAATGGTGAGTGTTGGGTTGTGAGGCCGCTCTTGTGGGTTGTTTTGTCCCATATGTTTATGGTGTTGAGTATCGCCGGTGATGTGCGGGGCAGCGGGGGCCTCGCTGATTTCTGTAGCCAGATGTATAGTGAGGGGAAGTCTCTGCCGAAGATGTCGTGTTCAAGATCTACCCAACGTTTAACTCCGTATGGGGCGTGCCAGTTTTGGGCCTGCGTTAATTGGGCTGCCTGGTAGTAATGATTAAGGTGGGGTAAGCCCAGGCCCCCGGCTCTATTGGGTACATATAGGGTTTGGCGTTTTATTCTGGCGCGTCTGTTGGCCCATATAAATTTGTCGATGGTTGTTTGCAGTGTTTTGAAGTCGCTGCTCCGGATTGGTATCAGTAGGGTTTGGAATAGGTATAGAAGCCTAGGGAGCACGTTCATCTTGACTGACGCTAGTCTACCCAGCCACGAGATCGGCATGTTTTGCCAGGTAGAGATGTCGTGGGTTATTTTCTGTATCGTGGGTGTATAGTTCAGAGCATAGCATTGGGGTAGGTCTGCCGGGATAGCGATCCCTAGGTATTGTATGTGGGTGGGCTTTAGTCTGAAGGGGTATTTTTCTTGGATGGCTGCTGTTGTGGAAGGGTCTATGTGTATTGAGAGGGCTTCTGTTTTATCTATGTTTAGTTTGTACCCTGATACCGCCGCATATGCTTCTAGGGCGTGCAGAAGTGGTGGTAAGGAGGTTATGGGTTCCGTGATTGTGATGAGTAGGTCGTCTGCATATGCTGCCGTTTTATATTCTTCTTCTCGTATTCTGAGGCCGGTTATGTCGGTGTTGAGCCTGAGGCTCTGTAGGAGCGGTTCAAGGGAGAGTGCAAATAGGACTGGGGATAGTGGGCATCCCTGACGCGTGCCGTTGTAAATCGTGAAGGAGGGGGGTTGTGTATGCGGTAGGAGTAAGTGTGCTTGAGGTGTGGCGTATAGTACTGTCAGCGCGTTCCTGAATTCTTGTGGGAATCTGAGTTTTTCGAGGGTCGCGAATAGGAAGGGCCAAAGTAGTCTGTCGAAGGCTTTTTCTGCATCAAGCGAAAGTATTAAGGTCGGGATTTGTCTTGTGTGAGCTGTCCAGATGAGGTCGTATGTCCGTCTAGTGTTGTCGCTGGCCTGTCTCGTGGGTATGAAGCCCACCTGGTCTGGGTGGATTAGTCGGGTTAGATATGGGTTGAGGCGGTCTGCTAGGAGTTTGGTGAGTAGTTTAATGTCGACGTTGAGGAGTGAGATTGGTCGGTAGTGTCCCAGGTCTAGGAGGGTTTTGTTGGGTTTGGGGAGGAGGCATACATTGGCCTGTAGCATGTCTGGTGGTAGTCGGTCGCCTGCCAGGATCGCGTTGTAGAGGTTGCAGAGGTGGGGGATCAGGGTGGAAGCGTAAGTTTTGTAATAGAGTCCTGTGAACCCATCCGGGCCCGGGCTTTTATTGGGTTTCAGTGTTTTGATCGCTCCTGCGAGTTCTTCTGGCATGATGGGGCTGGCTAGTGCTACCTCTGCTTCTGTTGGGAGGGAAGGTAGAGGTACCTGTTGTAGGTATTGGTTAATAAGAGTGTTGGTGTGTGTTGGGTTTTGTCGGGTTGTAGGTGAGTGGTCGTACAGGGCTTCAAAGTATTTCTGAAAGACGCCGGCTATCTCGCTCGGTTTTTCTGTGAGAGTCCCTTCTGGTGTGTTAATTTTGGTGATCTGTTTACGTTCTGTTCTCTGCTTGAGTTTCCTTGCGAGTAGTGTGTCTGCTTTGTTTGCTTTGTCATAAAATAGTTGTTTTGACCACAGTAGTGCTTTGGTTGAATCTTTCGCCATGTATTTTTTAATTTTTGTTTGGCATTCTGCAATTTTTCCGTTTGTTTCTGGCATTGGGTTAAGTTTATGTTGGGCCTCTAGGGTCCTAAGGGTCATTAGTGTCTGTTCTAGGTGGGCTACCTGTTTTCTTTTGTGTATGGACGCTTGATTTATCATGACTCCCCGGATTACTGCTTTGTGTGCTGCCCATAGAGACCCTTCGGAAGTTGCTGAGTCCTTGTTTAGTGTGAAGTATTCTGTGATAGCTTGGGCCACATTTTGTCGGATTGTTGGGTTATGTAGTAATGTGGGGTTTAGTCGCCAAGACCAGGGTCTTGTCGTGCATGGTAGGTTAAGTGTCAGGGTAATATCTGCGTGGTCGGACCACGTGATGGAGCCTATGTTCGTGTTGTTTACCATGGGTGCCAGTGCCGGGGAAATGAGGAACAGGTCTATGCGGGAGTGGGATTGGTGAGGGTGCGAGAAGAACGTGTAGTCTAGGGATGAGGGGTGATGGGCTCTCCATGCGTCGATCAAGCGAGTTTTTGAGATGAAGGCAGAGAGCATTTTGTCTGCTTTGGCTGTTGGTTGTTGGTGGTGCGTTCGTGATTGTGTGCGGCGCCTGTCTACCATTGGCGAGGGTGTGGCATTGAAATCCCCGCCCAGTATGGAATGGTGGGAGGGGAAGAGGGCTAGGTGGGCTTGTATCGTATGCCAGAATGCTTTGGAGGGGGTGTTCGGAGCATATATTGACGTGAATGCGTAGAGGTGCGTGCCTATTTTGCCTGTTACAGTGAGGTATCGGCCTTGCGGGTCGGCTATAGTTCGTTGGATCGAGAGAGGGCATGATTTACGAATGATGATGGCTACTCCATTGTGTTTGTCGTGGGGGGAGCTAGCGAAGTGGTTAGTTCGGTAGTGTCGGCTTAGGAGAGGGAACTGCTTGGCCCGGGTGTAATGAGTTTCCTGCAAGAGTAGTATGTCCGCCTTAGATCTGTTTGCCCAGCGCATTACTTGGTGCCGTTTGGTGGGGTTGTTTAGGCCCTTGCAGTTTATTGATAGGCAGGTCAGGGTGGCCGGCATGCTGGTGTGTGCGGTGTTGTTCTACTGGTGTGTGCCTTCTTGTTGTAGTGGGTTTGGTTCTGAGTCTGTATGTTTGATGTACCTTGGGGAGGGGGGTGGAAGATGGGGGGGGGAGGTGGCAATGTAGGATGTAGGGCTGTGGGTGGGGGGGTGTTGGGGAAGGGGTAGATGGTTTGGATCCTGGTCTTACTAGTTTGTTGCCAGGAGATGGGCGAGCGGGAGGGTGTGCGAGTTTCTGTCTGTTGTAAGGGGTGTTGGTCTCCTCTAGTTCTCACTGTATGGTTGAGGTGAGATTAGTTGAGTTGGTTTGTGTGTTCGTGGGGGGGAGAATGGACTGTAAGCGTGCCCTTCGCTCCCCGCCCCGGGGTGTCTGCGTGGGTGCATCTCGGTGGGGTGTGATGTGTGGGTGGGGTTGGTCATGTTGTGCGTTTGGATTGCTTTTGTGAGTACGTGGATGTACTGCAGCTTTAGTGGGGGTGAGTGTGTGACTGTCCCATGGTGTCGTTGTGTGCGTACCTGGTGAGTCGGTTTCGCAGGTCTAGGGGTTCTTGTGTGTTGTCATGGATCGCCGGTCCTTTGTGTAGGTCAGCTGTTGTACGGAGGGGGCTGGCCAGGGTCTGTCCGTTGGCTGTGGGATCGTCCGCTTCCCTCATCACTGTTGGTTGGTGCTTGTTGTTGGTCTGTGGAGGGGGTGTTTTTGGTCCGCTCTGAGGAGCTGTGAGTGGTATGGTACCTGTGTTTAACATACATGCACAGTAACAATTTGTAACACATAGTAATGGTTAGTTAAGTCTTGGGTGTTGGTTACATCATAAGTAGCATTGCAGTAATTGTTCTTGCTACTATCAAAGTCACATGCTGCCTTGGTATGCCTTGGACATGCCTTTCAACCCGGGCCCATGTGCCGACATGTCTATTGTGCGGCATCCTTTACCTAACCCAGCGGTGCTTGTAGCTAGTAGCGGGGTCTGCATTTAGTCCCTGAGGTCTAGGTGTAGTATCTTAGGACCTTCTGTGACAGTCTGCAGGTTGTGGCCCTGAGATTAGGTTGGGGACTGGGGCTAGCTGTGCGCACAGGATAATATGTTAGCGTAACAGGTGAAACTGAACTATGTATAGCTTTGGCGTGCCCAGGGCCAGATTAAGAGCCCAGTGGGCCTGGTGCTGACAATTATTACAGGCCTAATTACAGAATCATATCGACCAAAAACAGTAAAACACTCCCAAGCGTCATGTATCTGATGGAGATGGTGCTGGAGAGAAAGAAAACAGCAGCTATATTAAAACACATACCCTAGGCTAATCTCTCTCTAATTTATGTTTTCATCTTTTAAGTAAATCCATAACCCCTAACAGCAGTGTCCAGTCAAGCAGGAAGTCAATGGGCACGGTAAAAGGGTGTGCCACTGACACAAATCACGTAACCTGCCAAAAGGGGCGAACATGCCCAAAAAGAGGATATGTCTGCCCAAAGAATTAGAAGGCCAGCCTGGTATGAATGCATGTCAGGCTGCCTGCCAATCATGCAGCTGGCCAACTAAGGGCATACTATGCAGACAGCACCCTGAGCTTGGCATAAATGCATCTAATGATGCGCTCGCTCAACGCTTTCTAAGGACTGTCCCCTAGCACTCGCTGGTCCACTTGTCTCCTTACCTTCTTACTAGCAGGCAGAAGCTCATGGTATATAGTCTGGGACAGAGAAAAGCTGTATGTAGTGAGTGTAGAAGAAAGGGAACATGCCACAGTGTTAGAGAGACCAAAGTCAGCATTACCTTAAAGGATCACTATAGGGTCAGGAACACAAACATGAATTCATGACCCTATAGTGTTAACACCACCATCTAGCCCCCCTGGGCCCCTCAAACCTCCATAAATATAGCAAAATCTTACTGTATTCAAGCCTGAAGCTGTAACTCTGCATGCTGTTAGACTCAGAAAAACAAGCAGTCTGCTGTCATCATTAGAATGGCCTAATCCAATCACAGTGCTTCCCCATAGGATTGGCTGAGACTGACAAAGAGGTAGATCAGGGGCAGAGCCAGCATGATTCAAACACAGCCCTGGCCAATCAGCATCTCCTCATAGAGATGAATTGAATCAATGAATCTCTATGAGGAAAGTTCAGTGTCTGCATGCAGAGGGAGGAGACACTGAATGTTTGGATGCATTTTAGGCAGCCATGACCCAGGAAGAATCTCTAACAGCCATCTAAGGAGTGCCAGTGAAGTTATCACTAGGCTGTAATATAAAGACTGCATTTTCTCTGAAAAGACAGTGTTTACAGCAAAAAGCCTGACGGTAATGATTCTACTCACCAGAACAAATTCAATAAGCTGTAGTTCTTCTGGTGACTATAGTGTCCCTTTAACTATATTCATTGTCAGCCAGTCCACACAAGTTTTGTTCCCATACATCCCTTTTAAGTTTCCATACTTAAGTAAGAGTATGTGAAATGTAGTTAGGGTTGCCACCTTTCTTGGAAAAACATACCGGCCTTGCTAATTTGCATAATTAAATATGTATGGGTGACATCACATGATGTAAATCACAAGGAGTGATATAAGAGAAATGCTGTAAAATCACCAAAAAACTACTTAGTTTGATTCTGCTGTATAGATGGATTCCTCCCAGTGGCCCCATGTCTCCCAGTGCCCCCATGTGTCGATTACTTCAGGTCTCAGTGTTCCTATGTATCAGTGTCTCAGTGCCCCATGTTTCCCAGTGTCCCCTAGTGTCGTGTCCCCAGGTCTCCCAGTGATCCTATGTATCACAGTGTCTCAATGCCCCATGTCTCCCTGTGTCCCCATGTCACTAGGAAGACGGGAAGACCTGGGGACACAGGGAGACCTAGGTACACGGAGACACCAGTGACACTGGGAGACTAGGGGACTCTGGCTGGGACGCATGGGGACACTGGAAGACATGGGGACATAGACACCAAGGACACAGACACTAGAGACACTGACTGGGGGACATGGGGACATTGAGACATGGGGGCACTGGGAGACATGGGGACAAGGAGACACCAGGGCCACAGACACTAGGGACACTAGTTTGGAGACATGGGGACATTGAGACACTTGAGGCACTGGGAGACATGGAGGCACTAGGAGACATGGGGACAGTGAGACACTGGCAGACTGGGGGCACTGGGAGACTAGGGGACACTGAGACATCAGGGACACTGGCTGGGAGACATGGGGACACTGTGTCCCCATGTGTCTGTGTCATAATGTCTCCCAATGTCCCTTAGAGTCTCAGTGTCTGCCATAATGTCTCCCAGTGTCCCTTAGTGTCTCAGTGTCTGCCATAATGTCTCCCAATGTCCCTTAGTGTCTCAGTGTCTGCCATAACATCTCCCAATGTCCCTCAGTGTCTCAGTGTCTGCCATAATGTCTCCCAATGTCCCTTAGTGTCTCAGTGTCTGCCATAATGTCTCCCAGTGCCCCTTAGTGTCTCAGTGTGTGTCTCCTTGCAGCCTTTCCCCCCATCCCTCACTTCCCTGAGCTGTAGGCTGTCTCTGCAGGGTGGGAGTTGCTGTCTGGACTCTCTGTAGCTGCACCCCTGCAGATCAGTGAGTAGAGAGAGGTAGGGAGGGATATGCTGTAACTTCATATCCCTGCCTCTCTCCATACACAGTGGCCAGTGCTGGTATTGCAGAGTAATCTTTTGTTTATACTGAGAAAAATACCAGCATTTGCATTGCCAGTATCACTGCAATATTAGCACCAGCCAGGCAGCCTCAAATACTGGCTGCGCCAATAAAATAAAAGCCAGGTGGAATCCCTAAGAGTAGTGTGTGGAAAAAATAAAATGTAAAAAAAAAAAAAAAATTTTTTTTTTTTTATAAATCAATGGGCCTATTCCATGGGCCTGGGCCTGGGCCTGGGCCTGGAGCTGCAGCTCCATCAGCCCCTATGTTAATCCGGCCCTGGGCGTGCCTGTGAGGCATGTATACTGCTAGGCGACCCATGGCCTCTAGTGGGAGATGTCGTGGGTGGCTTAACCTTGCGGCTGAGGGGGGTGCTGTCCACCACTCTGAGGTGGTGTGAAGTCCCTGAGTGCCCTGTCTGCTCGGGGGCGTTTTGTGC